AAAAGACGTGAATCGTGTATATATTTTCTGGACGGCATTGCTGCTCGTCAAACACAGTCCCTCACAAAGAGGGACTGTGGTCGAGGGTCATCGTGTCACTGATCAGCCCGAATCAGAGTCAGAACTCAAGAAAGCACTTGGTCGTAGTATGAACCAGCATCAGATAATTTTAGCTCGAACTGTGCCTCTGCATTTATGCGTTTTTCTTTTTTTTGGCGGACCAGGTTTTTTCTTTTTACGAGGACTTTTTAAGATATAAACGTGTTAGCATCGGTGGCAGCCATGTTGTTGATGTTATGACTGAGTGTCGCTAGAGCAGAACTTTCAACGAGAATGAGTCAGTGATTTGCATAATCCCCTGCCAATCTATTTTAATTAGCCCGTCGTTAAGCCCATAGAAAAACAATGACACGTGTAGCTGTTTATCATCGCATTTTTATTAATATTTAGCACTCTTCAAAGTACAAAATTAACCTTGCAAAATTTGAAAATATGCAAAAAAAAAAAAATGTCCAAAAATATGCCACGAACCTGGGTCTCACTCATCCTTAAGACAAAAAAATATATTGGTTTAAATTCGAAATAGATACTATCCAGTAGTTGTCTTTTTCAAGAACGCTTACTGATAGATCTAACTCCTTGGCACACCTAATCAAATCATTCAACTTTTCCAAACACGATCATGCACAGTTTCATACAAGGATTTTTGTGTTATAACCTCTAATTACTTACCAAGGCCACATGCCCTATATTGTACCAGCAGTCACTAGAAGCGGAATCATCAGTCGATAGATTTAATGAACGTTCAAAACAATTCAGTGTCATATCATATTGTTGAGCATAGAAACAACATAAACCAAGATTGTTGAATAGCTCTGTGTTGTACACTCCCATCTGTAGTAGTCTCCTGAATACAAATAATGACACTTTATCAGTCTATGGTCACCATGCAATAATAAAAGCATGCAATTGTGGCAGATTTTACTAAATATTACACAAAGAAGGAAAGTTTGAAAGTGTACCATACTCATGTCATAACACCAAGACTATTAGTAGCACATGTGCTTATGGTCAAAATAAATAATACTTCAATGATCCAGCATACAAAACAGTTTTTGATGATCTATGTGTGCTTCAAATTGAGCAAATATAGTAATTGTTTCATTTAATACCTTGACTGTTAACAAAACATGTTTTTTCGAGTGGTAAAATTATTTGTTTTGTCCAAAAAAGTCTCTGAAACTTGGAAACAATTAAAAACAAAGAAAAGTGTGGGTCATTTTTTTTTCTCATCAATAAGAAGAAACATAGAGGGGGATTGATACATTTAAATGTAACATTTCTTGCCTGCTGGTTGAATAGCTAATGAAAAATTAAACAAGCAGCCTATCGGCTGAGATAGCTCCGCTGTTAGC